AGGTTGTTACACTTCCAATTACATCAAACAAAACAGTTACATTTACAAGAAATGACACTTTCACAATAAAACAACAGGGCACCTCCTATACAACAAAAAATAGGGCATCATCCTACACAACAAAAATAGAACACCCTCCACCAAAAAAAATAGAGCACTACTACACATAAAAAATAGGGCACCCTTCTACACAACAAAAACTAAACATCCTCCACACAAAAATAGAGCACCCTGCATTGAAAATCAGGGTACTCCTACTTACAATAAATGCCACACCCAAGTGAAAATAAAAAAGGTCCAAGAACATAATAGAGCCTTTCGTTGTTGGTTTTCGTGTCTTCGCATTGATCGCAAAAATCCAAGTATTACGTGCTTCGTTCTATTGCACATTGTCGAATCATACCAAACAAAAAATCCACACCCTCCAACCTCCTACAAATGCAACATTTTGTTAAATGAATTCAAAAATCAATAACTCAGTCACAGTAAAGCTTAAAAAACAAAATCCATAACATTTTTTTATCCCATATCTTTCACATCCAATGAACCTTCTTCCTGGTTTGGTGTAAAACCCAAGCATGCATGTGGACGAAAAAAAAAATATAGGCACATATTTATAGTGCATGTTTTAATAGGTTTATAATTATAAAAAAAATGAAATTGAGTTATTTATGAAAATGCCATTGCATGGCATTTGTTTCCAAGTTGCTGCCTAGTAGCACAAGTGGAGTTCTCCTCAACCTTCTCCAAGCTTCCAGAGTGATTGAGGAATTACTTAAGAGTTCAGCAAGTCTCTGGATAAGGGAGAACCGCCAAGAGAAGAGATAGGGAGAAGAGAGAAGCCAGAGAGAGAAAATCAATTTTGGAATTTTGAATTTGTGAAAGAAGCTACTTTGAGCAATTAAAGGTATGCTACTAGACTAATTTGAGGGCTAGGAATCTCCTGGTATCATTAGAATTTCATATGATGTACTACAATTGCTCGAATTTATATTTTAAATTTTCGGGTTCTAGGTTTTTATGAAATGGGTTTTGAGTTTGAGGTCATTTTGGTTAACTTGGTTGGCATGGCTGTGTTGTGGGGAGGTAAAGGAGTGTTTTGGTGGTTATTTTAAGGCTTGTCGTGGTCAGAGGTGATGGGGTGGTGGTGATGAAGTTTTGGCCATTATGGGTTTTTGATATCTTGGTTTTGGGGGTTAAGCTTTGGAGGGAAGGTTGTTCCTAGATAAAATGGACCTTAGGAATCCATTGGTGACCTTAGAAATGGATTTAGAAGTTGTTAAGATGGTTTAAAATGCAAGTTGCAGGTCTAGCTATAAACTAAAAACCTTGTTTTTGGGTTACTTTGACCAATTTTTCTTATAGGTTTAAGCTTAATTCGAAGCTTGAGAATTATGGGGTTTTTTAGAGTGATGTGTGGTGAGTGTTTAGGATCAAAAATTAGGTGAAAAGGTGTATTGAGTAGGGAGAAATAGGTGAGAAGTATAGGGGTTAGGGCTGGTGGAAGGAGCCTAGGGTTTTGGTCAAAGTGACCAAGGAAGAAGATGAAGTATACCAGTGCACCCTGATGGCTTGTGAGAGCGTGTCTGATCTCTGATTGACCTCTAATTGGTTCCAAAAGTTCCGTAACGTCCGTGCGGAGGTCCCAGTAAAATTTCAAGTCTATTCGACGACGAGATCAAAATGAGGATTAAAATGATTATTTTGACCTCCGGGGCCAATTTGACCCAGTTTTTGGATGATTTTGGGAAAATAAATTTTATATTCATTCTTAGATTTGTTAATTGAGTATGTGTATGAAATTTCATTGAAAAATAACATCATTTTATTTTTGACAATTTCAGATCGAAAAGCAGCGCATGATAGAATTTTTCAATTCCGGATCAGTTGAAGTTTTTCAAATTCATTTTGAAATCATGTATTACATTACTTATGAATTATTAATATATTTTAAAACTTATGATTGATGATCTTGAATTTGGACTGGAAATCATAGATCCAAATTAGGATTTTGAGTGCGATAACGCATAGTGGTCCAAAATGATGCAATTGTGGTGAATACAAAACATTAAGAAATACATTATTGTGCAATGATTTTCATTAGTTAAGCTATTTTTGATTCGATACTCATTTGCATTAATCCATGTGTTAACTGTTAGGGTCGGAGGCTACTACATCGGTTACGCATAGGGATTGACTGTAAAGAAAGGAAGGGTATCTGTCAATGGTAAATGTGAAGTGTACTGCTTCATAATACTTGAAAGTAAAGTATATGATATACCAAGTTTATTCTCTTATATGTGAGAAATCAATTTTGCTGAATTGATTTGAGTTGAGTTGCTTAAGCTATGGATCAAATATGTTTTGTTGAGAAGCTTGTGGTTTGTTGAAAAGCTTGTGATTTGAGTAGTATCCACTGTGCTAGAGTTGTTGATAGCTTGACATGGCTTACATGTTGTTGATTTAGACACTGCGCAGTTGTCATGCGATAGTTTGACATTGCTTAAATGTTGTTGATAGTCTGACTTTGCTTAAATGTTATTGTTGACTTATAGGACATGTAGACTATTTATTATGTTGTTATATTGACAGAGATTATGAGATTTCAAAGTGAGTTGAAAACACTTTGATTTTGACATTCTTCTCAGATTGTGAACATATTTGGTGAAATGATATTTGATCCATATTTTTAATATCTTCATTTATTATGATACACAACACACTCAAAAAAATTATTGGTTTCAGGATGCCAAAGTCTAGAATGAGGTTCATTACTGCGCTAGCATGGTAGAGATGGGGGGAAAAACTAAGGAAATCTGGTTATGTACATACTGTACAGGAGTGTCTGTTTTTCTGTTGTTTGTTGTAAAAGGATGGAATCCCTAATCCTTTATTTTGGCAAAAACGACACTGCTGTGTACCCTGTTATATAGTTCTCTATTTTGATGGTGGCATTATGTGGCATTATTGATTTTTAAAATGCATTACTGCATTACAAATGCAGGTATTGCCGCGTGTTGAGTTACACTTCCATCTCTGGAAAACCAAAGAGGGTATCTCAGGGTGGGGTGTGACATTTGGTTTCTGTCCATGAGATCCTCATTTTGCCTATTTGTCTACAGTAGCATGGTGTTGCCTCCATTCCAACCATAATTGATCCCTTTCCTTCCCTTTGCTCATTTTCTCCCTCTCTTCTCTTATGCTTTGTAATAGACAAATAGTCATAGGGATATAACCCATAACTGTTGGTGGGAATGTTTCCCTCTAGGAATGAGAGGAAGGTTAAATGTCATATAAGCCCTTCACATGTGTTCACACGGATGTTACATGGTTATAAATCGTGAGAATTGTGGATGACGTCAACGTCGGGGACTAGTTAAGTGCACATGCAATACATGAGAGACCAACTTAATGCAATTAGAACGCTGAAGACCAAAATGAAACAAAATGCATACTATAGGGACCACAACTGTAATTAACCCTTTAATTTAAGTACGACACTCTTCTCATCTTCCAAACTTAATTTATTTGTTACTTTACATTTTAGTTTTCTTTCTATGTTTTAATCCATTACACTACTAGTTGAGAAATTATTTAAGTTCTTGATCCCGAATACATAGAAAAAACTCAGAGGTAATCTTACGTTCCACTACAATCGTTAGAACACTCACAATTTTACAATCTTACACTTGTTCAAATAGATAAGGTGGTATTTGTTTGGATCTTAAGTTTAATCGAACTTTGGCACGTCCGTAATGTGAAAATACTATAAATAATTTAATAATAAGATTGTTTTAAAATAAGTATCAACTAGGGATAATTATACCTAGACCCCCTGAGATTTGTCACTTAATCACTTAGTCCTTAGCATTTGAAATATTACACATAGACTCCCTAAAGTTTATATGCTCATAACACTTAAATCTCTGCTGTAAATATATCTGATAATAAATTATACTCAGATCCCCTGAAGTTTGTAAACATATATTATTTAGACCCCTTAAATTTAAAATGTTATATTTAGACCAAAAATACTTCAATCAAAGATAAAATGTTAAATATTTTAAATTTTACAATTAAAATTCATGTTTTATTTTACCATTTATTGAAATAAAATCAAAATAAAAATTCAAATTTATCTTAAAAAATTGTAATTACAAATATATTGTTCATTAAAATTTAATTTGATTGTTTAAACAACCAAATTAAAATACCAAACTACCCAAATTAAAGCTAAAAAATGTTGTGTCAATTATAGTTTGATCCCTTATTTAATTTTTTAATTTTATTCTAATAGAGAGTATAATTATATACTAACTATGATTTTTTTATAAAAAAAATTAGATTTTTATTTTTGATTTTATTTTAATAAATGACGTAATAGAATATGAATTTTGATTGTAAAATTCATGTTCTATTATGAAATGACTTAGACCATTTGTTTGATTTTTTAGTTTTATTCCAATATATAGTATAATTTTATACTAATTACGATTTTTGAAGAAAAAAATTGAATTTTTAATTTTGATTTTATTTTAATAAATGATATAATAGAACATGAATTTTTACTGTTAAATTTAAAATATTTAATATTTTATTTTTGATTAGAGTATTTTTAGTCTAAGTATAATATTTTAAATTTAAGAGATCTAAATATTATATGCTTACATACTTTAGGAGTCTAGGTATAATTTATTAACTGATATATTTACAGTAGATGTCTAAATGTTATGCAAATACAAACCTCAAGGGATCTATGTAATATTTTAAATATCAGGGCTATGAGTAATTAAGTAATAAATTTCAGGGATCTATGTGTAATTCTTGTAATATAAAATGATAACAAATGAAATAAAAGAAAACAAAAAACCGAAAAAAGAAACGACTGGAGCCCGTTGCGAACTAGCTAAAACTGGGCGAGACCGTATTGCAATGACCAGGTCGGCTAGAGAGCATACAAGATTAGGGGCACGATCCTTCGAGACGCAAGTTTCCCAATTTTAAACTTAGGTTGTACACTCTATGCAAACTCGCACTTGCACGAAGCAACACTCATAATACACACAAATTAACCTCCCCCCCCCCTCTCTCTCTCTTTGCGTTGTGATTGTTAGTTTTGCCAGTGAATATGGAGGACAACATGGATGAATCTCAATCGGCGGCGGCGCAACTGGCTGAGCCACAGCCTCAGACAAAGCCACCGGTGGAGTATGAAAACGGAGAGCAAGAGTCGAATAGCGAAAACGAAGACGACATCTTGATATCGAAAGCACAAACGCTGATGGATAAAATCACTTCCAATCCCGATAACCCTAACCCCAATGTTCTTCATGCCCTTGCTTCCATCCTGGAAACCCAAGAATCCAGGTCTCTCTCTCTCTCGCTCGCTCGCTCTTGTTCTCCAGTCATTTACACACACGTACACATGTTTTTATGTATATGCAAGTGTAGAGGGTGGAATCATGAGGGTTTTTGGGCATACGGATTTAGGGAAAATGTTTTGTAATTTGTCAATTTCGGTCAAGTTCAAATATCCCATGTTCCCTTGATGGAGTCACTACGTCCAGTGGGACCCAAGAACGTAATGGTGGATGATGAGCTTGACCTAATTGACAAAATTGGAATTCACTTCGTGTTTTTAGGTTATTATTTGACTATATTTTTGGTGTGATTGGGCTGATGAAATTTGATTTTGCATGGGGATGCTGATTATTGTAACTGTTAAGGGCGACAAATGAGTTCTTTAATGATAGCGAGGAAAGAAAATTTTTAGTGTATTAGATAATTATAGTTTTAAATGTTTTCATTTCAGTATGGTTGATTTTTGTAAGTGCAGATACATGGATGAGACAGGTCATTCCTCCTTAAATAATGGTCGGGCTTCTCATAATATTGGGCGATTAGGGAACTTAGTCCGGGTAATTGATATTTACCTTGTCAAGTTCATGCTTTTTGCACTCGATGGATATCTATAATGATTGGTTTACTGTCTAAAAACTTTTTTGGGTAATGATTCTAGGATTCATTTTGAGTGGATTTCTGGTTTTGTAATCCTTTCCTTCCCTGTTATATCTTTTGTCTTCCACAGGATAATGATGAATTTTTTGAATTGATATCCTCAAAGTTTTTGTCTGAAACTGGATATTCAGTATGTGTTCAGGCAGCTGCTGTAAGGCTTCTTTGCAGCTGTTCCTTGACTTGGATGGTATGATAGTTGTTTTATTTATTCATCTCATACTTTTTTGGTATTTTATTTGTGTTGTTTGGATCACTTCATTGATTAATAAATGCAATACAGTATCCACACGTTTTTGAAGAAACCGTTTTGGCGAACATGAAAGGCTGGGTGATGGATGGGACAGCTTGGTCTTCAGGTGAAGATCACTCCTGGAAGCATGAGTTAGGGATAAGGAATTCCTCAGATTCTGAAATGTTGACAACTTATTCGACTGGACTTCTTGCTGTATGCTTGGCGGGGTATGCTCCTAAAGTACCTACCTTTGTTTCCTTGTTCTCACATGCTGGCAGCATAGGAACATAAGTTGAAAATATTTTGTACTCATTTAATTGTATTGACAAGATTTCTGAATTTTTGGGTATGATTGCAGTGGTGGTCAAGTTGTGGAAGATGTGTTGACATCTGGATTGTCAGCCAAGCTAATGCAATATCTTCGTATCCAGGTTCTGGGCGAGACTAGCGCAACTCAAAAAGATACTAATCAATTAACAGAGAACAAAAGTGCATCTGCTGCTACTTGCATAAGAGGTAGAGAAGAAGGTCGGGGTAGGTTGCGGCAAGCTTCAGAGACTTCTCATTTGGATGCTCCTAGGGCATTAGAGCAAGGATCTTTAGATGATCAAGTTATTCAAAGGGACCGTGACAGAAGTATTCATAGGCAAGCATATCTGGATGAACAGTGGGTTGATGGTGGAGAACCGCCTGCTGGTTTGGGTGAACATGTTGATACTTACAAGGTAGATGGAGATGGTGAGGACAGATGGCATGGTCAAGATTTACTTGATGGCAAGGCAAAGTCTTGTGATAGAAATGTTCAGGGCAGGACTATACTAGATGAAGATTTTGATGAAGGTGTCAGAGATGACTCTTCAAGGCGCAGGGCAAACCATGGATGGGGAAGATCTAGAGGAAAGGCAAGAGTAAGTGAAGTCATAGTGGATAATGAACAAGGTTTGACCTCTCCAGGGTCTGGAAGTAGATTAGGACAGGGACGGAGCACCAAGGATAGGAGTCTAATAAGAAATCAAGAGTTGAAAAGAATTACAGACACCAAAAAGTTCTTGGAGAGGATTGGTGCTGATAGCTTTGCCTTGGAAAGAGATGCCGATGATGACTGCTTCCAAGAATGCAAAGTTGGCTCAAAGGATATCTTTGATCTGGTAAAGAAAGCTGTGAGAGCTGCTGAAACTGAAGCCAGAGCAGCAAATGCTCCTGCAGAAGCCATCAAAGCAGCTGGTGATGCTGCTGCTGAAGTTGTCAAAAGTGCGGCTTCAGAGGTAAGGACATTCTCTTTAATTTACTACTATATATAAAAAAATATTTATATTGCGTGCAGCTTTCGGTCAGTAATTGTTTGTTGCTGTATATATGCTCAGGAATTCAGAAGGACAAATGATGAAGCTGCTGCAGTTTTGGCTGCATCTAAAGCTGCTTGTACAGTTGTTGATGCTGCTAATGCAATTGAAGTTTCAAGGTAATTATATTTGTACACAAGACATGCATGAGTAAATGATTGCAAGGGGGAGATTATGTTCACAACACTGTTAGCCCAGAACGTAGTTTACTTTGATGTGCCATGCATGCTAATTCATTGTGGTCTGGTGATAGGAGTCCAAGTGGGACCAATGTTGAGTTAATGAACTCAGAAGCTGCAGAACCAGCATCAAATGAGGAACCTGTAGACTATTTCATTGTGGATTGTGCCTCTATAGCAAAGCTGAGGGAGAAATTCTGCATTCAATGTCTTGTGGTACTGGGTGAGTATGTCGAAGTTCTTGGTCCTGTCCTGCATGAGAAGGGTGTAGATGTCTGTCTTGCATTATTGCAAAGGAGGAGTACCAAACATAAAGAGGCATCAAGGGTCACAGTTCTCTTGCCTGATGTGCTGAAGTTGATCTGTGCTTTGGCCGCTCACCGAAAGTTTGCTGCTTTATTTGTGGATCGTGGTGGCATGCAAAAGCTTCTTGCTGTCCCAAGAGTTGCTCAGACATTCTTTGGTCTGTCTTCTTGCTTATTCACAATTGGTTCCCTTCAGGTAATGACTTGTAGTGGGATTTTGCAATGAATAGTTAGATGCTTCTGTCCAGTTAACTAACCTCATGTCTTACCAATGATTTTTCTATCCCCTTTGTTCCAATTATTTATTTATATGATTCTTGTTTTTTTTTTGATAAGCACTATGATTATTTTGCTAATTATCTCCTTATTTATGCATTGTTTGTTCGAACTTTATAATATGGTCTTTCAGGGAATAATGGAACGTGTATGTGCCCTTCCTCCAGACGTTGTACACAAGGTGGTTGAGTTAGCTCTTCAGCTTCTCGAGTGCTCCCAGGATCAGGCCAGGAAAAATGCGGCTTTATTTTTTGCTGCTGCATTTGTCTTTAGAGCAGTCCTGGATTCTTTTGACGCTCAGGATGGCTTACAGAAACTTTTAAATCTCTTGCATGATGTTGCCTCTGTAAGATCTGGATCTAATTCTGGCCCATTGGGCCCATCTAGCTCAGGGTCACTTCGAAATGATCGATCTCCTACAGAAGTACTGACCTCATCAGAGAAGCAGATAGCTTATCACACCTGTGTTGCATTGCGACAATATTTCAGAGCACATCTTCACTTGCTTGTGGATTCAATCCGTCCAAATAAAAATACTCGCAGTGCGGCCCGTAATATTCCAAGTATTAGGGCCGTGTACAAGCCACTTGACATTAGCAATGAGGCTATGGATGCAGTATTTCGTCAGATACAGAAGGATCGGAAGCTTGGTCCTGCACTCGTAAGAGCTCGTTGGCCTGCAGTTGACAAGTTCTTAAGCTCTAATGGGCATGTTACTATGTTGGAGTTGTGTCAGGTGAGTTCTTTTGCATATCTCAGTGGGTTTTTTTCTTGTCAATACTTGCTTCTCTGAGCTGTATATAGTTTCTGTTTCATACATAGGCTCCACCTGTTGACCGCTACTTGCATGACTTGCTTCAATATGCATTGGGTGTTCTGCACATTGTGACGGTTGTACCTTACAGCCGTAAACTGATTGTAAATGCCACACTAAGCAATAATTGTGTAGGCATAGCTGTCATTTTGGATGCAGCAAATGGTGCTGGCTATGTCGATCCTGAGGTAAAGGCTTCTTTTGTGACCTTTCTGTTTCTTGTCTTCTTTTTTTTTTTTTTGCCAGATTAACAGACCATTTGTATCAGTATTATGCTCGTCTCATTTACTTCTAGGTCATAGTTAGTGATCATTTATCTTTAAGTTTCAGATTATTAAGCCAGCACTCAATGTGTTAGTCAGTCTTGTTTGCCCTCCACCTTCAATCAGCAATAAGCCACCTCTCCTTGTACAAGGTCTGCAGTCGGTTTCTGTGCAAAATGTAAATGCTCCTGCCACAGAGAGTAGAGAGAGAAATGCAGAACGGAACATTCCAGACCGAAATGTTCCTAGTCAAAATGAACTAAGAGAGCGGAATGGGGAATCTGGTGGTGTAGACCGAGGCAGCTTAGCGGCACTAGGTACAGCTTCTGCCAGTAGTGCTTCACAAACTCCTGTTTCAACAGTAGCTTCTGGATTAGTTGGAGATCGTAGAATATCGTTAGGTGCTGGAGCTGGCTGTGCTGGCCTTGCTGCACAACTGGAACAAGGTTACCGTCAAGCAAGAGAGGCTGTCCGTGCCAACAATGGTATTAAAGTTCTTCTTCAGCTCCTCCAACCACGCATAGTTACACCTCCTGCTGCCCTCGACTGTCTTCGTGCACTTGCATGCCGAGTCTTGCTTGGTTTAGCTAGAGATGATACAATTGCACACATATTGACAAAGCTTCAGGTAAGTGGCTTGTATTACGATAGCTGATTATGCGCTAGCTTCATAATTGTGTTCTTTGCTTAGATTCTTCTTTAGTGTCTGAGCTTGGGACTGATCAAATAGCTCCTTGCAGAGCCTACATTTCATATTTAGGTGTATGTCTATATCATATGAATGTGTGTGAATTTGCATGGGTACCCTAGTGCAATGTCATTTACGCATATGCTTAAAATAATGCAGTATTTTTCCCGCTAGGTAAGCAGATTTGTATTGATGATATAAAAAAATTTACAAGAGAGCAAGGGTAACCACCCAACAATTACATCCTAGGAGCGTCGGGGCTGCATGCCATCTGGGAACTCGTCTAAGAAACTGTAATGAAAAATGGGGGGGGGGGGAATCAGATGCAAGTGCTGTTCTTTGTAACACTTCCATTGGATGACATTGTGTACCAAATAAAAGCAACCATCAACCTATTATTACAGATAAAAAGTTGAATTCGCAACTTATAAAGCAACAACGTTGAAGATTGATTATTTTTTCATCTACTTTGATCCAATGGTACAAAATTCATCTCAAATTTTTTTCCAAATTGAAAAAGTGCTGTTAGTTGAACTAGGCTATGGTTGTTGAAACTTTTTTAGTGTTTACCTGGAATTGTTTCATGGATGGACTTCCTTCCTTGTTAAATTGGTATTTGGAGGAGGAGGTAAGGTTAAATATTGTCGAGGGATGAGCTTGATGACCGACCCACACTGAGCATTCATTGTGTTTTGGAAGTAATTGTGATTATATACATTTAGTTATGCATTTAAGAGAAGCTACCTTTGACAGTTTTATTTTTAAAATGTCACCAATTTTGACTGATAGATGAGTGTTACTATGACTGCTACAGGTTTTTGTGAATGTCAGATATGTTAAAGTGATTTCTATATAAATCTTCAGAGCTAAGTTAGAGAGTTGACACAAATCAATGCCTTGTCAGGCAAATGTTTTTTGGTTTCTTGTATGGTTACTGCAAATCTTCTCCCTTCCATTATTCACTACCGAAAACTATTACAGCTTACCTTGTGCTGTAGTCGTTTTGCTTTCAACGTGGGAGTTGGTTTAGATTGTCTGTAGACTGAATATGTGCAATAACTTGTTTTATTTATGTTTTCTAGTTTAATTCGCTGTTTCAGGTTGGGAAAAAATTATCAGAACTTATTCGAGATTCAGGAAGCCAAACTCCTGGTGGGGAGCAGGGCAGGTGGCAGGCTGAACTTGCGCAGGTGGCCATTGAGCTGATTGCAGTAAGTGCCACTCCTTATGATATGATTGTTTTGGTGGACCTGGAAGAGCTCCCCTCAGTTCTCTTTTCCTTTTTCCTTTCCCTTGCCTTCGTTAGAAATTTTGGAGCTTTCTCTTCTTCTCCGCCCCATTTTCCCATCTTACCAACCAGAGTCCTAGTTTTGTTCTTGGTTAAACCATTGATTCACAAGCATGCCAATTGTTTTGTGGCCTGTTTTTTCAATGAACATTTTTTTTGCTTTGGTGCATTATGACTGATTTCACTAAGCATATAAAGGAAGAGATAGGAAAATAGCAAGGATTAGCAATCCTACACTCAACAAGAACCTGCACACATAGAAGGAAGAAACTTCCATGATTCCACAAACCACAGCTCTATTCGATATCCACCTGTGGTGGTCACTTGAAGTTTGAAATTTTACTCATCTCAACACCAATGTTTGGATCATCCTTGATAAAAAAAAAGAGGGTTTCCCCATGAAATGGGCTTCTTTAAGGACTTGTAGGTTAGGTCTGTATTATTTAATGCGTAAAGCGAATTGAAGTGAACAAGTCTTCCGAGGCCTAGGCGAGAAGCGAGAGGCAAAGTGAGCACTTCATCGAAGCGAAGCGAAGCGAATAATAAAAAATAAGCAAATATTTTTGTTTAATTATTTCTAAATATCCAAGGTTTAACTTTACAAATACTAAATATTTTAATGCAACCAAAACCATAAACATCCAAATTCAAACAAACAGTAATAATGTCTCAAATTTTCACAAACACTGTAACAAAGCAAAAACTCAATCATGACAAAGTAGAAAACCAACATAACAAATCATAAAATTAGTCTAAGCATGACTGGATAATACAACATCGAAGCAGAAGTAGAGGGGGAGGGTCCAGTAGAATCAGAAACAGAATCAGTATCACAGCATAATCAGTATAAAAAAAAAAAGAGGAGGTTCCAGCAGGACTAGAAAAAGAGGAGTAGAGGAATAATTAAAAGAGGAGGAAGAGGAGAAGAAGAAAAAGAGGAGAAGAGGAATACCTTTTTGCGAGCGGCATAAGAAGAGAAGAGGCTTCCCGTTCTATGCTGGCTCAAATCAATTTGGTGATTAGGGTACTATGTATATATAGATTAGGCTCAATCGGTTGTGGTTGACATATTTAATTTTTGATCAAATTGCATCAATCCGATGACCTGTAATAATTTAAGACAGAAAATTAAAAAGTTAACTAAAGCAATCGCTTATACATTTTTTTTGCTTCTTTGTCTTTGTTTGCTTTTCTATTGTCTCGCCTACGTTCGCTTCGCCAAGCATATTTAAGGCGCATAGGGTCGGCTTGGCTCATTTTTCACAACACTAGATTAAGTGAATTGATAATTTAGCCAAATTGAGCTCCAATAAAGCCGTAAAGTTGAATTTTGGGGTATGGGTGCCAAATCTTGGCAGTAATGGGACCAATCCTCTAGTTATTTTTGCAATTTTTTGTGCCAGTCGTTCTGACATTCAATTTTCTTCGTATACTAGGGCCAAGTAAATGTCATGTTATGTCGGTGTGTTAGTTTGTGTCATGTCAAAGTTTGGTCAACTCACTTATTTATAGTCATTGTATAGTTAGATTCACATAGTTTGTAGCTGTGTAATGTTAGGTTTATGTTGTCCAGTTTATTAATTGGGTCTCGACCAATCAACCAAGTATGATCTAAACCCATTAAGACTAATCCCATACCTGACAACTTCATGTCAATTTTGTGTCCGTCTGGCGGATTTTGTAAGATTTACCAATCTTAGCTTATTAAGCATGAGTATAGATACGAGATACGAATGCGACAAGATATGCAATTAGTGATATGATGAAATTTTAAAAAATAGTATGAGTATGGTTAGGTTACATCTATTTAATATATACTTAGAAATATCTTATTGCTAAAATATTATGTAGCGATATGATTATATGACATTTTAACAACACTCAGATTCCAAGGGGCTGGTTGTTAAAACACATGTAATGCAAAGACAGAAAGGAGAGAGGGGATAACCAATCTTTGTAACGATTAGGTCAAGAAACACAAATCTCCGCAGAGAAACTAATCAATTCATATTAAGTAATCTAATTCAAATAATTGGGATTACACTATTATTTATAGGACAAGTGTCCTATCCAAATAAAAAAATACTCTCTAGCTAAAACTCTATCTAAATCTCCTAATAAGATGATTAATAGCTAACCAACTAATCTAATAATAAATAAATAAAATTTTGATTTTTAATTTTCAATTTTATATCTATCCAATCCCTTTACGATCCCTATAAATTCTCCCTAGTTGAAACAAACTCTTCGCCAAAGAGTTGTAAAGGTAGAAGAACTCCATGAGATCTAAAGAAGCTTGCATTTTAACTAAATAGTCATGTAGATTCCCATAGTAGAAAACAATCCCTTAATGTGTTACATTCTTCACAAACTTGTCCATAGACACTAATATAGATTAAGGAAGCATATAAACTAGTGGAGACAAAATAGCAATTCCATAAGTAGTGGCACCCTTTGAAACTCTTTTAAATTCTTCTGTAAGAATGTCTTCATCATTCAATCAGACTGAAACTTGTAGTGGTGCAGCATGTTGTATAACTGGAGGACTATGTTCAACCACTTTTTGATTGACAGTTGAAGACGTAAAGTTGAAATCTTCACTTGTCTAGTTTCATAAATTGTAGCGAGCACAAGTTTTCTCAATGAATTGATAGATGCTTCAATTGTATCTAGTTTAGCATTTATGGTTTTTTGCGAATTATCATGTGCTTGGGACAAAACCTCCATTTTAGCATTTAATTCGACATTGGAAACCATCTTGATGAAAGAAGTGACACGAAAAATTACAAAAATTTCTAGGGCCAAACTGTAATTTTAGAAATTGTTGGGGCCAAATTGCAATTTCAGAAACTATAGGAACCAAAGTGTAATTTCATGAAGTTTCAGGGTGGTTCTGAAATTTTCTAAAATGTCAGGGAATTTTGTGTAATTTCAGTGGTATTGTGTAGAGGTGTGCGGTTAGGTCAAATGGGTAGGTTGTGATAGGGCAATTTTTGGGCGTCAAAGATGGGGAATTGGGCCGGAACTCTTGTTTTTGTTTGTTTGTTTGTCTTTTTTTTTTTTTGGGTTGGGTTATGGCTTGAAAGAAGATTTGGGCTCGGCTGCGGTTTAAAGAAGTTGGGTTAAGACAACTTGGATAAAGAAGTCTTTTTCCAGCAGCTTACCTTCTTGATTAACAACAGTACTCTTCTCCTTTCAGCAACAGTGCATCATCGACAACCAATAGCTGCAACAATAATCAGAATTTGGATGACAAGATGCAACAAATATGGCTAGGGTTCAGTCATGCAAAGTAGCAACTGAGGGTGAACAGGAAGTTTGAAGGCAGAGATAGAGAAGAAGAGTAGAGAATATGGATCAGAATTTTGCTCTGATACCAATTGATGTAGAGAGGGAAGGGAAAGAAAGGGAATAACCAATTATTGCAAGGATTAGATCAAGAAACATGCAAAGAAACTAATCAATTTATATTCAAATAATTGGGATTACACCATTATTTATAGAACAAGTGTCCTACCCACAAATAAAAAGTACTCTCTAGTTAAAACTCTATCTAAATCTCCTAATGAGATGATTATTAGCTAACCAAATAATCTAATAATAAATAAAATTCTAATCTTCAATTTTATGTTTACATAATCCCTTTACGATCCCTATCAACATGCCAAACTAAATGATATATGTAGCTCACATAGGCATCACATAATGGTGTGTTCTATCCAATGGCCCATGTAACCTGAAAGTTTGACATGTGTTGTCCTTGGCCCAAATTTTGCCTTAACGTCTAATTGTAATGCAAGTCATTGGTTTTAACTTAAGCCTTCAAATTAAGCAAGGTGTAAACAATTCTCAAAATTTCAGCCCAACACCACTCTCCTCAAGGAAAGTGAATTCATTCGGCTTCTTCGTTGAAGCAATGCTCCATTGAAGGTTTGTAAGGAGCTTCCAACCATCCAATCCTCCCGTAGTATATAATGAGCATGAATATGACTACTAAGAACAAAGACCAGCTCAGTAATTACAATGAACATATATCTTTCTCAGAGATACGTGTATCTGGGGCATATACTATATGTATCAAACAACAAAAATATATAATAAGTAGTTGATACACACGAAATGCATTTGATACTTGTCCTTATGTATATGACGAGCTATGAAGCACGGATACTTTGTTAAGATCGACGTATCAGTATCGAATACTATATTGAATATAATACTCATTGGATATTCGAGAATATATATGGATATACACAAAATATATCCATTAATAAATAAAATATATGAATACTACACGGATACTGCTATACTTCGCGGTGTTTTTTAATTAATAACCATTATTACATGTCTAAAGAGTTTAAATGAGTTTATTATTCTATAATCTTAACAACAAATACTTCTAAGTAAATAATGTAGTTAATTATTAGTTCTTATTCCTTTAATTAATTATGTTCACTTTGTAGATGTATTAAAGTGAAGCGATAGGTAATTTTTTGAAAATAAAAAATTATTAGTGTTGTTGACTATTGTTAACAAATCTTTAAAAATTATCAAGTCATTACATAGTAGTGAAAATATAATATATATATATATATATATATATATATATATATATATTTATAGATGTATCTCGGCCGTATATGTGTCAATTTTTTGAAGTTTTGTCGTATCGCTGTATTCATATCGTATTGTACTCGTATCTTGTATTCGTATCCGTGCTTTTTAGACGACGAGTATCAGTGTGCCACACGTATCCTCATGATGGGGTAATGTGGATAAGAACAATTACATGGTGGGATTTGAAGTCCCATCTATTATTGGGGACGGGAATTGGTTGTTGGTCTATGTTCTGACTTTAGTAATCAATGTGGTGGACTTGAAGCTACTGCACTTTGTTTGAGGTTTCATTTTAGTTTAAATGAAATATAATCTATACTCTAAAGTCATAGATATTTTGGAACTTCTTGATTTATTGATGTGCTTGAGCCCTCGCTTGATTCACGATTTTACGCACACATAAGCCACTTATAATCGTGTTTCTTGTTGATTCCTTTGTGTTTTGGGATGTCCTGCTTCTATGTCCTTGATTCGGTTGAACTTTGGGTAATTGAGAGGAGTTTTTTAAGAGATGTAGATAACTACATATCTCTACTCTTCATAAACGTAGCTTAACATGACTTTTAATTCATTATTTTGCTTCTGTAAAAAACTTATAAATGATAATCTCTCTTATGTATTTAAATATCCAAATGATCTCCAACAGTTTGTGTAAATCTCATTGTCTTTGAATTTTTTTTTTGAATGACCATGTTACCCTTGCTAGGACGTATAAAGACGTCATTCTATAATAATAAAATATGCTAAAAAACTCTTCATTACTCTATTAATATAATATTATCCCCAAATGTTCAAAACGTTGACATATGGGTATTTTCTTCTTTATCCAACAATCCAACCTTTCAATTTTTTTCGTTAAGGTTTTTATGAATTTTTCTCCTATCTCCAATCACTTCATGTATCTTTTGCTCTCGCTCTCCATTTAATGTTACAAATAATTAGGAATGAATATCAATTTTATAGTATAATGAGCAAATGCTTACACCGACATATCCTCGTTTTGGCTTCAATTATAATTTACTAATTCTGGGTGGGAAACTAATATGGCACAAAACAAAAACAAAAAAGAGAAAAATGAAACATGAAAGGAAAAACTCATACTCTATCAATCGGTTCAAATTAAAGAATCAAAAAAGATAGTCCATCAGATGTTTATAGTTTACTAGTTGGTGCTCACGTATGTTGTACATGAATCATTTTAAATTATAATTATAATTTTTATTTTTATTTTCTACTTTTTATCTCCATATTTGTGATTTATGTATGCATAATGTAAGTGTGAAGTTAGAAAATAATAGAGGCAGAATGTAAAAAGAACACATTAGGTTATTGATTTGATTACTTATTGGTTTTATAATATTTATATTTCAAATATTTTGCGTTACCATAGTTGTGGGCAACACTTACAAGAATTCCCATCGAGAATATAGAGTTTCTCATCCCAAATTGTATTTAGATTGGAAAAAATTACAATCTTATAGTAAATGTTTGACAATTGAAGACCAAAAAATAGATTAAAATTTAATAGAAGTGAATAAAAATTTAATTAACAAGTACAATTTGTGTATAGTTGTTGCAAAAATTAACAGTCCAATCTCCGGCACTTACACTATGACAAATCAAATTTCTAAATAAAAATCAAAAAGAAAATAAATAAAAAAATTAAATCTAAATAGTGAAGTAAAAGACATCACATTTTCTTAAAGTCCTAGATTACACTCAGATTAGATCATCAAATGAGCAGTTGATAGTAAGGCAACATTAAATGAAGTTAAGCACTGATACCAAAAAAAAAAATAAAAAAATCACAAAGAGTTAAGAATTCTTGTAGTTTGAGCTCATCATCTTTAATACCGTTTACAAGTGCTATTTTCATAAGGTCTATGACAACTTGCAAAGGAAAATAAAAGTTAAAGACAAAAATGAAAGGAGCTATAAAAGTTATAGAGAAGAACTAAAATACCAGTAGCCTCTATTATTTAAAGAAAGAAGATTTATCTACTGTTTGGAAAGTGAGGGTTTCAAAGGAGAGCACTGTTATTCTTATATTGTTTTGTAATTTTCTCTAATGTTATGAATATGAAAGGTCTTCCTATAGGTAATATTATATATTCATTGCACTTGTAATTGCAAATTTTTACTCCTAGATAGGAAAGGGTCTAAGAGTTAAAGTGGAAAATAGGATATGATTGTCTTTATATGATTAAGTAAGGGTAGAATAAGAAATCAAAAAATTTTCTCATTAGCTTCTTTTTTTTAGTAGTATAGATATAGGTGAAGGGAATACGAACAATGATCTTGATATAATCTTTTCCTAATGAGTTAACTTCTATAATCTTTATAATTATAAAATATAATATGGACGATACAATATAAATTTGATGAACATAACATGAAATTTATTCAGTTAAACATAATGTATATTTTTTTTAGCAATTTTTTTTTAACAAAAACTTTAAAATGATAACAATTGTTTTATTGATTGCTTGCCCATATAAAACCTGCAGTTTATGGTATTTTGGAGTCGTTGGTCATGCATCATACTGTCTGATTGTACAAGTTCATGTTGATTTGATCTTTGTTGTATGCAGATCGTAACCAATTCTGGGCGTGCAAGTACATTAGCAGCTAGTGATGCTGCTACTCCTACTTTGAGACGTATAGAGAGAGCTGCTATAGCTGCTGCTACTCCCATTACTTACCATTCCAGGTAATCTATGCTTACTTCCTCCTTCATACTTTTATGCTATCATTTTTCTTTTTATTCATGCTTTGTTCCTTGGTTTTTAGTTTGCACTCGTGTTTGTTTTTGTCTAAATTTCAGGGAACTTTTACTTCTTATACATGAACACCTTCAGGCATCTGGTTTGGCAGCAACGGCTGCTGCACTTCTAAAAGAGGCTCAGTTAACACCTTTGCCGTCCTTGGCAGCCCCATCATCACTAGTGCATCAAACCTCTTTGCATGAATCCCCGTCAATACAAATTCAATGGCCATCAGGACGTACTCCGGGTGGATTTCTTTCTGTTAAATCGAAAGCTACCTCACGGGGTGAGGATCTCAGCTTAAAGTTTGATTCATCTGTGTCATCATCAAAGAAGAAACCTCTTATTTTCTCTCCTACATTTGGTTTACAATCAAAAAAGTCTTCTGGACTTGCAAGCACACCAGAAGCTCCATCAGTGTCTGCAGGGAAACCTAGTGTGGATGCTGACATGCAATTTAAAACTCCAATTCTATTGCCAATGAAACGCAAGTCAACGGACTTAAAAGACACCGGGCCAGTGTCGTCAGGGAAACGACTCAGCTCTGGTGACCATGGACTTCGATCTCCAGTTTGTTCAACACCGAATGCTTTCCGTAAAAGCAGTATACTAACTGATTTGAATGTCATTTCCACACCAATTTCTACTTTGAAAGATCATCATTACGGACGATTAGTACCAAGTAGCTTGCTAGCTGATAATTTGGATGAGAACCGACATGGTAACACCAATCTGGCTCAAATGACACCTTCATTCCAACATGGACTTCTGAATGATCCACAACCCTCCAATGCAGAACGTTTAACCTTGGACTCTCTTGTTGTTCAGTATCTGAAGCACCAGCATCGCCAATGCCCAGCTCCTATTACCACATTACCACCACTTTCACTCTTGCACCCGCATGTCTGTCCAGAATCAAGACGAAGCCTTGATACTCCTTCAAATGTGACTGGCAGGCTTAGTACACGTGAGTTTAGAAGTATGTATGGTGGGATCCATGGGAATCGCAGGGATCGTCAATTTGTTTACAGCAGATTTAGACCATGGCGAACTTGCAGGGATGATGGTGGTGCCCTTTTGACCTGCCTCACTTTTCTAGGAGATTCCTCTCAGATAGCTGCTGGAAGCCGTTTTGGTGAGCTAAAAGTTTTTGATTCGAACAGCAACAATGTGCTGGAGAACTGCACCAGCCACCAGTATCCTTTGACACTCGTCCAGTCATATCTTTTGGGAGAGAGTCAGTTGGTTCTCTCTTCAAGTGCCCATGATGTGCGATTGTGGGATGCATCTTCGGTCTCGGCTGGGCCCAAGCATTCATTTGAAGGGTGCAAAGCTGCTAGATTTAGCAATTCTGGGACCATATTTGCAGCACTATCATCAGAGTCATCGCAAAGAGAAATTCTCTTGTATGATATCCAGACCTGCCAGTTGGAACTGAAGCTAACGGACACGTCTATGAGTTATTCGGGTAGGGGACACATTTATTCTCTTGTTCACTTTAGCCCCTCAGATACTATGCTTCTATGGAATGGGGTCTTATGGGATCGTCGTGGTTCTGGCCCTATCCATCGCTTTGATCAGTTTACAGATTATGGGGGTGGTGGCTTTCATCCTGCTGGAAATGAGGTATAGAGAACTAACCTCTTTATTTTGTTCATTATGAATGCACTTCGATCATTGAAATATTCTATAGAACTGATAGTAATTCTCTTGAAAACGAATGACTTTCAAAGTCTGTTTCTGAATTTCGGAAATTTTGAAATAGGCTTTCCCCATTTTAGGTGAAATGATATTTTTAAGTTAAGGTAGTAGATGTACGTAAAGTCTTGGTGGTTTCAGACGTCTATGCTCCATCGAATCTTCTGGATGGTTGTCGCTCCATGTTCATTTAGAAAAAGTCAGGCACCCTTTGTTCATGCTTTTTAAGGTTACTTTTTCTTAGTAAAATAATAAGTTTATGTTTTTTTCTTAAAATGACAAATAAAAAGGTGAAAGCATTTTGGTGATTACTCTCTAGATGTAATATGTGTGCATATTTGTATGTAAGTAATATATTTGTATACGTGAATACATGTCCTGTTATACATGTGGTAATGCTTGGTGAAAGAGCGAACCTCTACAAGTAATAAAAAGCAAAAACGACAATTTTTCTGCATTAGAAAATATGTACTTTTTTTTTTTCACTATTGAAAGTGTTTTTTGTGCACTGGCCTAAGATATTTTTGACTTTTTTGCTTATAAACTGCAACTCTAAAAAAAGTGTCACTAAACATACCTCATCTGTCTCACATAACGTAGACCTACGTGTGTAGACTGTGAATATGGAATTCTAACCACAACCATATCTTGTATTTTTGTGTTTGCTCCATGTTAATAAAGAAGAATGAAATAATACTAGTCTTTTTTTTTTTTTTTGGATTGCAGCACAAACGCCGAATACTTTATCATATATAAGTCTTGCTGATTGATCACTTCTTGTGAAATGTTCAGTGGGCTCGTTGAAGTTATCCAATTTTCCCATGTATTCTTTCTAGTAAATTTTCCTTCTAAGTCAACATAGACATTATTACTTTTGCATGTTGAGACTGGATGGCTCTATCTGTCTATTTAGTGCCTTGAATGTCTGTTCTTTCCTTTTGACCTTTCTGCTAAAACGATACTTATTTTTAGCAGGTGATTATAAACTCTGAAGTCTGGGATCTAAGGAACTTCAGGCTTCTCCGAAGCGTACCTTCCTTGGATCAGACACTAATAACTTTTAATGCGAGTGGGGATGTTATATATGCAATTCTGAGGAGAAATCTTGAGGATGTTACTTCAGCATTTCAAACTCGACGTGTTAAGCACCCCCTTTTTTCTGCTTTTCGTACTGTGGATGCTGTCAATTATTCCGACATTGCTACTATTCCTGTAGACCGTTGCGTCCTTGACTTTGCAACGGAGCCAACTGATTCTTTTGTTGGGTTGGTGACAATGGATGACCAAGAAGAGATGTATTCTTCGGCTAGGGTGTATGAAATCGGCCGTCGGAGGCCGACTGATGATGATTCTGATCCGGATGATGCTGAGAGCGAAGAGGAGGATGAAGATGATGAGGATGGTGATGAGGACCCACTACTGGGACCAGATCTCGAGGGGGATGGGGAAAGCGATGCTGACGATATGAGCAATGATGATGATGATAGTGTGAGCGAGCTTGATGATGATGATGAGGAAGATGGAGATTTCATTATGGATGATGGGGACTTTGATGCTGGAGGTGGAATATTGGAGATTGTGACTGAAGGTGAGGATGATGATGATAGTGGGTTGGTTGAATCGCTTAGTAGTGGGGATGAAGAGGATTTTGTAGGTAATGTTTATGGCTTCTGAGTGCTAAAACAAGCTACCATTTGGATGGATACAGTAGATTGTTAATTGTATTTACAGTAAGTTAGATTATGTAATTATTGTCAATTCTATTTTAGAGGGAAAGGAAGAAGGGGGGGGGGGGGGGGGGGGGAGGAATGAGAGGTGTAATTCGTTTGATGAGGTATATTGTAGTTACAGATTTTTTAGGTTGATCTTTTCTATTTCGTGGTTACGGTGGAGAGACTTGTTTATACCGAGTTTTAAATGAAAATTTTGTTATCAACTGTGCTAAAAATCATGTAGCGGAAGTCGAAATGTACCATACAGTGACTTTATGGTCATGGATGTCCGCGTAGTTTCAAATAAAGCTACATATCACAACTCGAAAATATGATCAACACACGCACAGAACATTTTTGTTTGAGGTATTAAAAGATGGTATTGGATTAAATTAATCTAATCGTTATTTAATATCAATATTAGGTTAAGTTACAAATTCTAGTATTAAAGATATTTTAGTATTGACCCTACTCTAAAGTGTCATATAACACTTTATACTTGATATAAATTAATACCATATACTAGGTCGTATTTAATGAGACAATTGGTTTAATATCCAAAATAACAAGAGTTCCTTTATAGGTTAAAGATTTATGCATTTGATGTATGGTGATCTAGTCTTTTTAAACTTAATACCATAATTTTTTTTAGGGGAGGGGAGGAGGAGGGGGAGGGACAGGGGGATTTGAACTCTTGACTTGAAGAAGGTAAAGTCTTTACAAGATAAAAAGTACCATTGAACCAAATGCCCATTTATTTAAACCTTCATCCAAACATGAGATTGGTACTAGAATAATTGATCCACAATTTATTTAAACCTTCATCCAAGTATGATTTAGTTGGAATAGGGTAAAAAGGTTAACCAATTATTACAACAACTGTGGATTAGAATGAAATCAATTGTTCAATCCCATCACAAACCATATTCAAACTAAACAGAAGTCACTGGAGTGAATACGGTTATCAATTTTTCTTTTTCTTAATGTCTTGTTTGTTACTTTAATTACTGAATGGCATGGCACCAACTATGAGTAACAAGAACTGTAATTCTATATTGGTCTTCTGGTCTGCTGAAGTACAACCACAGTTGCTCTCGAACTGTAATGTTTTGATCAGGTTTAGTTTCCGACTTCTATGTTTCAACTCGAAGTGTCCATGCACCCTACAAATATTCCATTCATGACTTTAAACACATCACCAATTTATGCTTTAATCACCAGCCAAACTCGCACAAGTTTATAAAGACATGTAAAATTAAATCCCAACTTATGAATGTGATCATGAAATCATATAAAACGTATAATGGATGTAAGACTAGCCACAGGTGAGGATTGGGTACTGATGGGACATTCCTAAGAAGGGACTTGGATTTGACACGTGTCTTCCGCGTCGAGGGCTCTCAAGCAGTCAGATGATGACACGTGTCTTTGGGACCGATGATACCTTAAGCCCTCTAATGACACGTGTTCTCGACACCGGAGATACCTTCAGCCTCTCAGATGACACGTTCCTCAGCTCCGAGGGTCCTAGGCGTTGGCGTGGTGATACATGTCCTCGGTTTAGGGGGCTCTTAGGTGTTGCCATGGTGACACGTGTCCTTGACACTGAGAACACCTTCAACTCCCCGGTTCAGGCTCGTATCCCCAGTGTGGTTAGATCCCGGGGACTCATTCGGACACATCACCTCGGCTTTTGTGTGGACTACTGACAGTTATAGTCCATCAATCTCAGAGTTTGACAGAGAATAATTGGCTTACCTTTCCATAAAGTCAGGATGGTAGAGTGGGCAAGACTAGCGACCAAAGGGAGTTGGACACATGTCACGACTTACAAGATTAGGGGTAAATTGATGGAAATACCCTTGCTAACATATAGTTATCCCATAAAAGCATTTAATAAATCCTCATAAGGACGTGACGTCCATGATGGCTTGGGAAGCCTAGAAAGAATAACATTAAATGCTCTGGAGTCCAGACATTTAATATCGGTACATCAAGGAGAAGAGTATTAAGTGCTCTGGAGCCTGGGTAAAGGACATTAAATGTTCAAGGAGCCGAGTATTTTATGCTTGAGTTTAGTTCCTACAAAATAGAGGGTGTACAACCCAATGAGTGAGCTCCGCCTATTACCTACTATTCCTCCGTTTCTAAATATCTGTCGTTTTGAATAATTTTTTTTTATTTCATAATATCTGTCGTTTAATGAAATCAAAGCACAATTAATATTTTTTTTCCAAATTTACCCTTATCTTTGTTTTTCAATAAGTGCTCAATAGATTAAGTGTAGGTTAGTACATTTCATATTCCTTTCCTTCCTATATGTATTGAATAAGTGTATTTTAGTTTTGTGTAATTATTTTTTACTTATTTTAGAGTTATTTAATAGTTTTCTTAATTCCTGTGCAAAAACCTTAAACGACAGATATTTAGGAACGGAGGGAGTAATTAGTAATGATGACTTTCATGAAATGTATAAATAGCTCTCTAAAGCTTAAATCAAAGGTACGCAAACACAATTCTTAGCATATACACAATACTTTTTCTTCCCTTCTCTCATAGAACCTGACTTGAACGTCAGAGGGGATACGTCAAATAACCCTTCTTTTTGTGCCAGGGACCGCCTACGACTTGCCGGTATTGATCGGACAACCCTTAAAGTAATTCATCATCACTCCTTAGATCACCTTTGGCGTTCCTTTGCCCAAAGATCGTTGACCTTCGAGGTAAATATAAATTTATCAAGTGAGAGATCTGTTTTTATTTATTTATTGTGCAAAAACCATCCCGCACAAGTACTTAATGGTTCGGTTCACCCTTTAGCCTACGTGTATTCTTCCCAACTTCCTTGGTTGAGACTCAATCTACTATTCACTCCTACGAAAGAGGCCATTCGTGGAGTTCAATTCCTGGCGTTTGTTATAATCACTAGAAAATTTTTACTTTGTTTTTTTTTTTTTTAATGGCCTTTAGTCTCTGGCTCTTGTTATTTTGAAGTTTATATTATATTTTCTTTTCTATGGTAGTGCAAGTAGTAAAAATTACGAGTTGTAAATTTAAATATTTTGAGTTCAAATTTTGGCAGTTTTTTAGGACCAGATTATACGATATTTATCCTATATGAATACCTTAATTTTGGCGTGGATGTCTTGCCCTTAATCAGACTGAAGAGAAGAATAATTGATGTGCGTGTAAGTTGATCTAAACACTTTGATTGTTGAATTATATATATATATATATATATATATATATATATATATATATATATTTCAACAATCAAAGTGTTTAGGTATATATGTATTTGAATTGAATATCATCTTAAATTTATAAATTTTAATTTTTTATTTCTCATATTCTATTATAAGATTATGAAATTTTATATATTCCCAAAAGTCTTTGTTCTAACTATAAAAAAAATAAAAAAATAAGTCCTATATTTTTAGAATTTTGTGATTAAGATTGATTTTTTTAGTGATGTTTGAGAAATTAAATTTTTTGAAATTCATTTGATTATGATTTCAATTATAATTCATTGAATAAAATAAAAGGAATTGTTTTTTTTTGGGTAAGTGAAGTCTATTTTTTTTTTGGGTAATTGTTAATATATTAATCACATTGAAACTTTACTGCAATTAAAAATAAGTTAGGTTAGCTGGAATAAAATTTAATATATTACTTTATGATTTGTATTATCAAATATCTTAAAATTCTAAAGAATTCAAGTTTTACTTAAAAATATACTACGATATTTATGTTTATAAAAAAAAATCTTAGTACAACTTATAAAGTTTAGGGTAAATTACACTGACATCCTTGTAGATTGGTCTAATTACAGGGACACCTCTCAGTTTTTTAAAATTACATTGACATCTCTTATTGTTTACCTACCCATTTCACAAAGTATCCCTATGGTTAGCATTGTTATCGGCAATGTCAAAAAAGTGATTACATCATCAATTTTTATACTTTAATACTCATATTACCCTTGGATAAAATTAGGTTAATCTATTTTATTTTCGTATCTCGTATCGTGTTCATGTTCGCATTCATGTTTCTTTTTTATATTGTGGAACGTTTCTAAGTAAAGCCACTTTGAACCCTTTCTTGCGAGAACAAACTCCGAATACCTACAATTACCCGCAAACCACAAGTATCAGTTAAGTCTGAGAGACACCAACGAGAGTCAAACCCCTGACGTCCGGGTCTACGGTTTGTCTGAGTTTAACTCTACACCGCTAGGTTACCTGTACAGGTGTGTTCATATTCGTGTTGACTCATGTAAACTTTAAATAAAAAAATTTAATGTTGAGATTTAAGTCTAAGGTTCTATTATTACTTAATTGAATGCATTCTCATACTTTTTCTATAAATTAAAAATTAAATTAATAAACATAGTAATAATAATTAGTAACAATATCTTTTTATATAATAATTATGTTAGTGTTTAATAAATAACAACAAATAATTAATATCTTATTTTTATAATATCAATTAAACATATGGATCATTGCAATTCAATGTTGTTCGTGTTAATATACAAATGGAAAAATAGAGAAAATTCGACACAATTAAATAAAACGGGTTGATCATGTCAATTTCAGGTTTGACGGGTTGAACCAAAAAATGACCCATTTATTAGTATTTAAATATATAAAAGGATGATAAGTAAAAAATGATATATGTATGGTAAGGATAATTATGAAAAATTATATTTTTTTTAATATTTGTTAATGGACAAGACTTGACATGGGGTCTTAGTGTAATTTCAAAAAATTGAGGGTGTCCTGGTAATTAGATCAATTTACATGAGTGTCAGTGTAATTTATCCTAAAGTTTATTGTGATTGAAGAATTATATTGATATAACATAGATTGATTTTAAAAAATTACATATATGATTATTTTTTATCTTAAAAATAAAAGGGTTAAACTTTTCGATGAATATATATAGAGGATATAAGATGAT